AAGAAGTTTGAGCCGAATTATAGCGATCCGGCACTTCCGACGCGACATTGCGTCTTTTATAGCAAATTGTTTAACCGGCAGTGGCTGTACTGTAATATAATGCTTAATGGAGAGACTTTGCACAGAGATCCTCTTTAACCAACAGAAGTCTTGGAAAAGCACTAACGGAATGGAGGGTCTACCCATTTTTGTAACCAATTTTAGAGTTTTTTCTCAAATGACCTAAAGGAGGCCGGCTAGTGAATCCCAGGAATACCTGCTTGAAACTTTGGTAGATGCAAGAAAAAAATGATTTTACTCTGAAAATGTAGACTTTTTTAAGCAAAATATTTATAAGTGAATTGCAAGAAAAGAGTAAACCGCTTTTTATCCGTTTAGGCCGATAATGAAAACGAAATGGAAGCTCTCGCAGCTGCAGTGGACTCGCAGGAAGCTGACGCTGTGTATGTCGTGGGTGGAGATGGAACATTAGGAAGAGTCGTAACAGGAATACTAAGGAATAGGTAAATGCTTTGCATTACTATAGTTATGCTATTCGTTTGTAGCCATATTCGTATTTATATTCCATAGCTTCGCTTGAAAATTACCACTTATGTTTTCAGAGACCATCCTGCTCTTCCAGTTGGAGTTTTTCCAGGAGGATACGATAATCTATCTCTGAAACGGCTTGCTCCAACTGTTTTCGGTAATTCTATTGCTCTTTCAACTTTATATTTTCGATGTTTTGCTTCTAAAGAGTCGTCGGATGATGTAAGAAGAATGTGCGAAAGTGCTATGGCCCTCATTGAAAACAAGATAAGAAGTGTTAGCGCCTTTGAGTTCAGTATGGTTAGTTTTGCATATATCCTTGATTTCTGACCAAATCGCTATCTATCTTTCAAATCCTTTTCTCTACAAATTGTGCTCAGGAGGGTGAAACAGATGCCAAGCCGATATACAGTATCGGCGATGTGGGAGCCGGCTGGTTTCGCCATATCGAGGAACGGCGGCGTAAATTGTGGTACTTTGGTGCTTTGAAACGACGATGGGCTTATATATGGGAAATGCTGAAAGTAAGTACTTATCATTACCAATAAAGCACGATTTTGCGGAGTGAAGGTTGAGTTTTTGTTAAGCTGTTCTATGCTAGAACAGCAAAAAACGCCTACGATTTCAACGGATTTGGCTGTTTAACTGCTTAGCCGCAGGGTATGGCGTTCTCTCCTTCCAAAAAATTTTAAAGCGACCAGTCAGAGCATTCGAGGAAGATGTTTTTTGGTGAATATTGGCATGGATAGCAATTAGCAATAGGGGTGGCTATGATGCATGCTTAAGAAGTGGTACTGAGATTGTGAAAAGTTCGACGGGGATGCTGGATGAGACGGACTTTGGCTGTCTCACTTTTTTCGCTGGTTTTTATGTCTGCGAAGACCACAATTTTCCGTTCGACTTTGTAGAAAAGGATGAGCTACAAACTCTGCCCCTTACCATATTAGTTAGACTTCCTGCCAACAAATCGATAACTTTTCTGCAAGCGAAATTATTCAGAAACGGTAACCAAAACAAGGTTCAGCAACCTTTTTTTAGCCTTCAGAGCGAAATTCCAAGCTATCGACATGAGCGAGGCTGCATTTTTTCTTGTGAGAGTTTGCAGGTTGTAGTTCTTAGATCAGTTGACAACTATACTCCAAATGAGAAAGCTTTCAAAAACCTGCATCACTTGACGGAGAACATAATAGCAACGTTAGTTCGTCGCATTTTGATAAAATTCTAGTTTTCTTATCCAAAATCGGATATGCACCCAGAGTATAAGGCGTAAAACTTGTTAAAAATGTTGAACTGGTTGCAAAAGTGCGCTAGAAGAATGTTTTACGAAAGTAATATAGCACAAAATACATATTCCAGATCATTTCTGTGAAAAAAAAAGC